GGTAGCTTTACTTTGCGGTCAATCGCTACTGCGAAGATATCCTCCAAAATCATGTCCAAAACTCGAAAACGGAAAGATTGCGTTAAGTTACAAAGAGCAGAAGGTGGGAACACTCACCGCTGTTGTGTCATAAAAAATCTAATGATCAATTTTGACGTTTAAAGCGTTTAGATCGATCAGTTGTTTACATCACTCAACACAAGCAGAACTGCATTACTGCAGCAGAAGACACATCGTCCACATTCAGAAGCACATCTCTGTATAGTGACTGGTCTTATGATTTAAACAGGCAAATGTTCAGCATTCAAACTACAGGTGAAGAATAGTCAAACCAGATGTTTCCCCCGTTATGTCGATATCAGCTAGTCAAGTACACACCTACACAGCATGTTAACAAACCGTGAAAAAAAGCCACAAAAAATGAATGATTGCTGGTAACGGTTTCTATACATTAGTATTTACGAAGGGTATGTTGTGACTTACCTTCAAAATTACAGCGGTCCCTCGCTATAACGCGGTTCACCTTTCACCTCGCTGTTTCGGATTTTTTAGTGCAAGTTTGCTTTTTTTTACGTCACATTGTGTCCTGCGTCCTGATCGCTGCAGACGATCTCCTCCGTGACGTCTCTCCTGTACAGTACAGAATCGCTGCATCGATCGCTAGCAGTGTGACTCTGAAGTGCAGTACTGTATGTCCACGAAACGTTTTGCACCGTCAAAAAATAAAATTGGCTACTTGATTTCACCTATCGCTGGTTATTTTTAGAACATAACACCCGCGATAAACGAGGGACAGCTGAGAAATATAACATTTGAATCCCTTTTCTCTTTTGCTCTGAGGCGCGGGGAAAAATATCGACAAGTCGATGAACATCATTTACAGATATATTGGGGTATGGCAGGGAGTTCAGCACTTAACCAACTACAAACCTGGCAATACCACGTTGACTGAGGGTAACGCGGAGCTTGCAGAGGAGCTGAACCACTTCTTCGCACGCTTTGAGGTGAAGGGACCAGAGGCAGCAGCAGCAAAAACATCGGACAGCAGCAGCCCAAGCCTCATAGTGCAGGAATATGAGGTGAGGCGCACACTGAGGGGGGGGGGGGGGGGGGGGGGGGGGGGGGGGGGGGGGGGGGGGGGGGGGGGGGGGGGGGGGGGGGGGGGGGGGGGGGGGGGGTGGGGGGGGGGCGGGGGGGGGGGGGGGGGGGGGGGGGGGGGGGGGGGGGGGGGGGGGGGGGGCACACTGGGCAGTGAACCCCAGGAAGGCCACCGGACCAGATGGGGTAACCGCAAAGGTCCTAAAAGAGTGTGCAGACCAGCTGGCTGGGGTCTTCACTAAGATCTTCAACACTTCACTGTCCCAGTCCTGCATCCCGCCGTGCCTAAAGTCAGCCACAATTGTCCCACTGCCAAAACGTACTAACATTAGCAGCCTCAACGACTACCGACCAGTTGCTCTAACACCTGTTATAATGAAGTGCTTTGAGAAACTGGTCCGACGTCACATCATGTCCTGCCTGCCACCCACACTCGACCCGCTCCAGTTTGCATACAGAGCTAACAGATCAACTGAAGATGCCATTGCTACAACGCTCCACACCACCATCTCTCACCTGGAAGTGCAGGGCCGTTACGCCAGGCTGCTCTTTGTTGACTTTAGCTCTGCTTTCAATACGATACTCCCGGACAGACTAATAGATAAACTGCTGGAAATTGGACTTCCTTCCACCACCTGCCGCTGGATCAGAGACTTCCTCTCAGACCGTGTACAGAGAGTTAGAGTGGGGCCTCATCTTTCCTCAGCCCTCAGCCTCAACACCGGCTCTCCACAAGGCTGTGTACTGAGTCCCCTACTGTACACTCTGTACACACATGACTGTGTTAGTTCCCACCCAGACAACACAGTCATCAAGTTTGCAGATGATACCACTGTGGTGGGGCTCATCTCAGGGGGAGATGAGACTGCATACAGAGCTGAAGTTCAGAGGCTGTCAGATTGGTGTGCAGATAACAACCTGGACCTCAATACCACCAAAACAAAAGAACTGGTAGTTGACTTCAGAAGGAGGAAGTCCGAGCTGCAGCCTGTCAGCATCAACGGGGAGTGCGTGGAAAGGGTCTCCAGTTTCAAGTTTCTGGGTGTGCACATAGACACAGACCTCCAATGGAGCTCTAACACCTCTGCGGTCTTAAAGAAGGCCCAACAGCGTCTCCACTTTCTGAGAATCCTCAGAAAAATGGACCTGAAGAAGGAGCTGCTGACCGTCTTCTACCGCTGCTCCATTGAAAGTGTGCTGACATATTGCATCGGTGTGTGGTTCTCCAGCTGCACCACAGCACACAGAAAGGCACTCCAGAGGGTCATCAACATGGCCCAAAAAATCATTGGACATCCTCTTCCCTCCCTGAAGGACCTGTACAGCACTCGCTGTCTCAAGAGGGCACGCAGCATCCTACGGGACTGCACACACCCAGGACACCGGGTGTTTAAGCTGCTGCCGTCTGGCAGGAGGTTCAGGCTGCTGAGGTCCCGAACAAATAGACTCAAGGACAGCTTTTACAACAGGGCAATAGCCCTGATCAATGTAAATAGTTGACCTGACTGGATACCTCCCTGGACTTTTTAGGGGGAGGTAACAATGTTTAAAACGATAACAATAATATTTATATTTATAACAAGGTGCAATAATAATTAATGTGCAATAATAACAGTGTGCAATACACATACACTTATTCTTCTTTTTTATACTAAGTTAATATACTGTGTTGTGTTGTTTGTTACGTTGTGATGTGTCATATCGTGTCGTGTTGTGTTATATGTAGTGCCGACGTAGGACAGTTTTTCCAATTTCATTGTACTACTGTACTATGTATGACTGTGCAATGACAATAAAGAGTTATCTTATCTTATCTTAATGCCCAAGACATCTATAGAAATGTAAATCGCCGCTTGATTCATTCATTTGCTTAACTTGTTTTGGACCGTAAACCAGGCGCGAATAGGGCACCGGAAACAAAGCTCCCCACAGGAGTTTCCGCACATTTCAAAAACTGCCAAAGAGTTAAAACACCAAACAGCTGAAAAAGCAGGTAAATGGATTCCGATCAAAGATGCAAACACAAAGCACGACCCAGCTGCACATACACGGACACGCAGTCAGTGCTGAAAGCCGACAACTCAAAGATCCTGAAGCTGCAGGTTTTGTCACTCGGACCAAAATTTGCTGAACCAGCAGCAAAAGAAGATCAAAACTACGCTTCCCATTTGAAAAACATTGTCATGAATTCTCTCTTACTTTTGCCGTTTTGCATCCATCACGGTTAAAAATCACACTTCCTGCACAGTGCTCTCTCGCTCAGTGTACTTCAAGACCAGTTTGCCATCAAAAATCTGTTTTCTGTATTATTTGTTCACTTATTATGCACCAGTCTGTGTTCACTGCTGTTTTTTTTTTAAATGATGGATATGACTTTGTGGGGATAGGTTAATTGACAAATCTAAATTGCCCATAGGTGTGAATGCGGGAGTGAATGTGAGTGCGAATGGTTGTCTGTCCCTGTGTGTTGGCCCTGTGACAGACTGGCAACCTGTCCAGGGTGTACCCCGCCTCTCGCCCTATGATAGCTGGGATAGGCTCCAGCACCCCCCGCGACCCTGAAAAGGATAAGCGGAAGCGAATGGATGGGTGGATATGTACTGATAAACGATTTGAATTATAATATTTCTGACTGAGTCAAAATTGAATTCCACTTGAAGATCGAATTGAATCAGGACCTTGTGAATCAGAATTGAATCGGTTATAGACATCAAGTGACCCAGCCCTAATAGTACCTGCTGGTCTGGTTATCATTGGTGCCATCGGTCAGGTACAGTAGTAAACGTCTCTCCAGGTAGGACTCTATGTTCTCCCCTTCGTGGTAGTCGCCATGTCCGTTGAGCAGATCTGTCACTTCCGTGCTCAGCAGAACTGCTTCAAAGTCCCCTTCCATAAGGGACTCCAGCAGAGGGCCTGCCTCTGGAAGACAATATGTTTGGAGAAGTGAAGTTTACCGTTTGGTTTCTGTAACTAAAATAATGCTGTGTACTGCAGTTAAGGAAATTTGGATCAAGTACATGAATGACGATCCCAATATTGCCAGGAAATATCATACATTGCTTTAATACGGCATGTTGTGAATAAGAACAGACTTTTGTTTACTGCCAAAAGAAAATAACATGTTTAGTGTCGCTGCTTCTTAGTCTAGAAAAGACTCATTTGCACTCTTACGGAAAACTCTCATACCCCAAGGACCAAAGAACATTATACCAACACAGTATTGACCATCTCATAACAATTACATTGTTTCAATGTTTACAAAAAAAAAGCCTAGTGACTGGTGCAATCATAGACAGGCAAAAAAGGAGTGTGTGTGTGTGTGTGTGTGTGTGCGCGCGTGCGCGCTAGAACAAGTCTTTAGCAGTAATTGCAGTTCTAGAGTTTCAGATGTCTGTAAAACATCTGAACTGCCATCTTCGGGTCTTTCCATCAGTGTTCTGTGGCGCTGAGTCCGTGTTTTGACGGAGTCCGTTGCAAACTTCTGCTGAAGAAGCTCCATTGTGGTTCTGGTAATTTGCTATGTGGTGTTGAACTCTAAACCATCACGCCAGCCTTTGGTAACTGGTTAGACCTGAAAGATCAATGCCTTGGACACTCACTGCTCAAAAGGATATTCCAACGGATAAGAGGGTTTTTTTAGGCCAGTACTGATATTAATACTTGCAGTTGTCAAGCTGTCAGATGATGTCAAACACTGTTTGACTTCTTTTGCAGCAAACAAAGAAACAGGTAACACCTTTTATGCAATGGCAATTTTATTTATGGGTTGCATTTCATGACACAAATTCACAAATTCACTGTACTTAACATAAATGACAGAAACAAAACTATGTAGATCTGCTATACCCAAATGCAAAAAACAAAAAAACAATTGCTACAAAGAAAGTGTAGTTTAAGTTTGTGTGTAAAGCTGAATCGATTGGTCTGATTTTTTGTTTTTAAATCCTGTCTGGTCTGGCAGCTTTTGCAATCAGAACTGTGATCTGACTGCACTGTGGCACCAAACACATTTTGCTCTCTATAATGAGTCTTTTCTTTAAACCCCTTAAAAGAACAAGAAAGCTTTGCTTTGCAAAATCTAGCTGTATAACAATGTAAACAGGGACAAAGTTTGATTTTGAAACAATGACCAAGCCCAAGTTGGCATCAGTGGTGCTAATGCACTTATTTCCACTGTAGCCGTATTCTGCTATAAACAATCCCCTACCTATACTGCATACAGTGTGTATTTACCTTGCTCATGCTCCAAAACCACCGTACACTTGTGAGATAAAGAGGACATGCTGAAAAGGCTGATACCGAGATGATGAGAAATGTCGATTTATTGAAAGACACAGGGCAGCTGCTGGGCCACCGCTTGCCAACAAGAAATAATTGTGTTGCCCGAGTGCTCCGTTCAACATCTCCCCGTCTTTCATTAGCTTTTTATTTGAGCGGGGAGACTGGCTTGGCTCATTAGCATTGATTACTTTGTGTTACCCTGGTGGAGGGAATAGAGGGGAGGAAGTAGATTGTGCTCTGAGCTGCATAACAAAGCCTGGCCAAGTTGAGAAACAGACAAGATTGTCTCCATCACAAACCAGGTGTGGACAACAAATAACCTAAACACTAATAACAGATGTGTCATGTCAGAGAACCTGTGCCAGCTTCACTGCTCTCTACAACCATTTTTCTTTCTTTTCTTTTTTTAAATAAATAAATAAAATATCTCTATATCCAAAAGAGGTTTGCTTAGTTGATTTCCAGACAGCTGTTAGAAACAATAAGACGATGCATCCCCCTTACCAATGACACGCATCCTTGAATCCAAACACCATAGTTTTGTCAAAGATGGAAAACTATTTTCATGTAGGAGTGTGAGCCTATCCCACATGCCCACATCCACAGGTCAGTCACATGGTCGCTCAACTGTCCCCTTGGCTTTAATAAATGCTTGCAGTGTGACTGGTGCTGTAAAAGAGGTGTGGAGATTTTCATCTGACTGCCGATCTAATGAAACCCAGGGGCTGCCATAGTAGCGCAGTGAGGTGTGAGGGAGAAGACGGGAGGAGGAAGTCTCTGGCTTTATGAGGGGAAAATGAAAGCCTGAGGTATGGCCACATGTTTAATGACATTTCAACTACTCTTCAGGTCTACTGTTGAAATGGCAGCAATTATGGAAAACAAGGTAGGGGCCCTCAAATTAGTCCATAATTCATAAACGTTCAGGCATTGAGCTGCAGTTAATAAGGAAATGGTGAACAGAATTTGCAAAAGCGTACAGGGCTGAGAAGCAATATAGATTCAAGATGAAAGATCAGGAATAGCTCACATGGGAACCCCAATTTCTCTGTGAAAAACTAAAAAATGCACACAGTCACGGGCTGCTTGTCTTTCTTGAAGCAGGGCTGTCCATACAGCTTCGATAATCTGCATAAAAGCTCAATCAGCTGCATTAGCCTGGCTTTAATTCTGAGTGTTATGTTCTACGATCATTTACACCCTACACCACCTCTGATACAACACACTTTTGGGAAATAATGCAGAAGAAGATGTCAGTTCATCATAAATCTTGCCACAACACTTCCATGGTAATAGGTCGAGGGGATATAAGAACAATGGTTTATGAAATATTACCTGCCAAGAAAGTCAAACAATCTCATTTGGCTCGACACAAGCGGTGTCAAATTAACTTACTCCTATAAATTCTCACATAAAAAACAATCTAATGTTTCAGATGAAACCAAGATTGACTTGTACCAGAGTGGTGAAAAGTATGGAGTAGCTACACAAGTTTGGAAAAGGGAAGGGAGAGCTTATAATTTGTCATCTGGCAAAGTTATTGCATGGACATGTATGTCTGCCAATGGAGCCAGGCCAGTAGTGTTTCTTGCTGATACGACTGTTGAAGTACAAAGGGCTATGCTCTCTAATGAGATTTAGCCAACTGCTGCAAAACTGATGGGATGCCACCTCACAGTGCAGATAGATAATGAACCAGAACATATTGCAAAAGCAACCCTAGAGTTTCTCAGGGCAAAGAAATGGGATATTCTTCACTGGCCAAGTCAGTTAGCTAATCTCAGAAACTAAAGACTGCAGCCGTCTTTAGTTTCTGCCTGCTAGAGCTATCCAAATCTTGCAGTAAATTATTTTTCAAATGATGTTATTTTGTCCAATTAATTTTATCCCCCTGTGAATGGAGGACGATGCATAAAACTGTTATAAATACAATACTTTGGCTTAACCCCTTGAATTAAAGATGAAAGCCTATACATATATGGTTTCATTTCAAATTCACTGTATTAGTATTAAGCATTCTTTTGTTGAACTGTGATTTACATGGTTTTGCAACTGAATAATTGCCAATAGGTCTTGTTTATTCATCCAAACCAATAAATGACACCAAACATGAGCCAACAGAATAGCCAATTTCACATTGGCAAGTTTTTCTTAAGTTAGCAGAGTTGATTTTTTCATTTTTAGTTGTGCTGCACATGCATTTTCCTTACTACGGAGAAATACGCAGGGTTTCCAGCAGTATATGATTTACTGCCAAGAAGCATTGTTACAACAAAGACATAATTAACCAAACACAAATTTCCTTACTTTTTGTGCTAAGTTTATAAAGAAATCAGGGGTGGCTCAAGATTTATGCACAGTATTGTAGCTTGCAAACTATTTGGCAAACATCTTAAACTGTTAGATGAACATGTTAGCTAAATGTAGCTGCTATGTTCATTTCTTCTTATAGTTCTCTCTTTCTCTTATAGTACAAATAATAACACTACGGTCGGACATGCGACTGTTTTACGCTTCGGTTTGTTAGCAACAACGACGTTAAAACCATCGTGTGGCTCCGCCGTCCACTTGTTTATTTTCCGCATCAACCTTTCACAATAAAGCTCAACAACCTGTTGAGACTTTCCAAAATAAACTGAAATGATATACATTATTCTCAAACATAAAATTTCAGAATATGCATCAAAAAATTACCTCAAATGAAAACATGAAGTAACTACAAACGGCACTTACACTAAACATAACTGATAATGTAGTTGTTGAATAAAAGTATGCAGTTTCAATTTAAAGTATCAAAGAGTGGCAGTTAAACTTAGGTAAGAGTACAAAAAACTGTTACCTGAATACCTGTACAATAAAACAGTGGATCGGGTAAACAGAAAGACCTCTCGATCTGATACGAATAACAAGTTTTTAAGAACAAATTTTTAACAAGTCCATCTGTACAAGTACGTACATCAAATGAAGCACATCAAATAAAAAAAAAGAGAGAGAGCAGTGCCTGCGGTTTTTTGCACCAAATTAATTACATCTTCAAATGTGATTCATCACATGAAACCATCGACAGACTTTTCTTACCAACAGCATGAACACATCTCGCAATGACAGTGCAGGAAGGAAACTGTTTTTTTGTATTCATACCTGGATAACATATAAAGATCATGACAAACAAATTTGTGGCACTGATGCAGTTTTTCAGCTACATTTACTGATTTTCCATCTATGTTTTTTTGTGTGAAAAAACCCAAAATAAACTGCATATGTAAGCAAGCAGATGCAGTGGTGTACAGAGGACTTTTCATTCTTTGTACTGTAGAGCACCTTAGATGCAGCAAACTACAAAAACTCTAGAGCCAGCTATGAAGAAAAGGTGTCTGATGACGTTAAATGGAGAGAGAAAAAGTATCTCTTTCAAGGACAAAACAGAAACCAGTATGACTGTTTCGGGATCTTGCAAAAGATCACAGCACTTAACCATGCCACTCAACCAACAAAGCCCATAAGAAGACAGTGTGGATGTCAGAGAGATGGACGATGCCTGCACACATCCTGGCACATAGAGCACCTCAGCAGAGCGCATCGAACCATTTACAGCCCGAGAACAACAGTGGTGTCACTCACTGTGAGCTGTGTCCAATTTAAAGACGTATCCGTTTCATTTTCAACATAGAAAACGTGTCACACCGAAATCAAATGAGGTACAGGTCATTAAGTACTTACCTGGCTACAGTGGGACCCTGTAATAAAGAGCCATCTCTCGTTTCCTTCATTGTTTTAGGCTACTTTATTCTACAGCCTCCCAGTATAACAGAGCATCTGGGGTAAAGTCTGACTATTGCTATGCAGTCCAAAGCTAATGCTTTCATAAATATTTCAATCTGGCCATTTTATTTATTTCAACAGAAAAAAAAATGACTATCATGTACCTTTAAACTGACAGTGAAAGGCTCTTTCATTCTTATAAGAAATTGTCTTCCAAGAACTGGATAATAGATTTACAGCTAGTTGCTGAATATTGTGCTTTAAGACTGCAATTTTCGTCCCTACCTTAAGTTTCTTTCATATCTCCACTGACAAATCACTCCAGTTTAATTAAATGCTAATGCACTGTCAATTACTGCGGCAGAAATAAGACGTGGTCTAGGAACAAACCGTACTGAAGTCACACTAGAGACGGGTTATCCAGCAGGAATCTCGCAGTCTGGCCATTTAAAGCCTGCTGGTAACAAAGAGAGCCCCAGTTAAACAGACAGCACTGTTTAATACAGGATGTCTACCATTGGGGCTTTCTGGCAGTTGTGGATTAGTTTCAGGGTTCTAAACGCAGCTGACAGATGCGGCTCGAGTCGACTGGACAAAGGTGTATGGAAAGAAGACGTCATGCTAGACTCTAATGATAAAAACTACCAGGAAAAAAAGAAACAACCACGCTAGCTTTAGTTCATAGCTTTTCAACATAACCATCTAGTTTCCGTCCAGCTACGTCTCCGGTGAACATTGGGACAACTGGGCGAACTAAAGCTAACGTTAGCTAATGTTTAATTTCTTTTAAATCGACTTCATCATTTACTGAAAATCAATCCCAGTATAAGATTAACGCCGAATAGCATAGTTACATACCACATTTTAAATCGCTTTACAATATTACAAGAGCGCCAATAAAAGCTTAACCGCTTGGGGGGCCCCAACAAGGGCATGCAAAAAGTTTTTTACTGCCAAAAAAAAAATTTTTTAAAAAAACCCGGATTTTGGTGTTGGCATCCAAAAACCAGAAAAGCCGGGCTGGGAAAATTTGGACCCAAAACCCCGGTTTTTTTTTTTTTTTACCGTAGGATTTCGGTCCTCAAGTAACTTAAAGAAGTCCAGACGCTTTTCTTTGCAAGCTCCTTTGACTACGATGACCTGGATGACTGAGAACCTTCACAGACATATCAGACTGATTCCAGACAGATATTCACAAGAAGAAGGAAAAAAAAAAAGTCCTGATCTCATATTCAGTCACAAAAGAAATATTGCAAATTTTGAAAATCATATCTGTCATGTGACTTGAATTATATTAAAATTTAATATACCGCTCATTTTTAATTGATGTTTGCTGCAGGGATTGCATTTGCTTCATTCCACTTTGAAAAGATTCAACAAAATAAGCAATTTGCCCAAACCTTTGTGTGCAGTTGTTTTACTGCTCAAACTCCTTATTTAGCTTCCTATTCGTACAGGTTTTGGGCCCCACTATAGCCGAAAGATTCTAGGTTTTAAAGGGTTTATACATGAAGTACTGCACTTTTTTGGTCAACACATCCATTCCATTTGTAAGAACATTTGTATCCTTAGAGATGTGCTTTCAGCTGCTTCACAGTATCGTACTATATTTCTTACTATTTCTGTGCAATGAAAACTAGCACCACAAATTCTCTCATCATGTTTATTCATATTTAAAGTAAAGCTAAGATATACTTGCAGAAATAATTACATAAATAAAAATCCCAAGGTGCAATTTCATGTATTATTTTAAATAATCAGACAAATGAATTCCTAAATTACTAAAACAAAATAAAACATTTACCAAGTGAAAATTGTTTAGTTGAGGTGCCTCTGATGACAGTGGCACATCATCAAGATACATGACATCAAATGGCATGGTGTTCTTTCTTCAGTTACAGATATTCTGTACTTAAGTGGAAGTACAAATACTAATATTAAGTTAAAATACTCTAACTTCTTTACTCAAGTAAAAAATTACAGGCTCTGAAATGCACTCAAAGTATGAAAGTAGGATCTCTTTGGAGGACGCCTCTATTTTTGTGTAAAGCTAACTGAACCTTTTACTATATTAACATAATAAAATAATATCAGTATATGCGACTACAACTTTAGTCTAACTTTTTAAAAATTCTAATTATACTAAGCTTGCCTCCGAAGAAAAAGAGGAAAATAAACATCTATTTTCTGTTGCCTACGTTGTAGAGGGTAACTGCCTCAAACGGGTGGGATTCAGCACGTGGGGAACACTAAACTGGTTGTAATGGCTCAGTGTGAGGAAAAGAATCATAACCCCGAACCCCAGTAGATTTTCTTAGTGTACAGGCTGTGATCAACTGACCTGTTGCTCTTTGTCGATGTACACAGCTTAATTCAACCAGATGTCAGCAGATGTTTCAGAAGTTGTCCTGGTCAATGGTCCTAATCTAATAATCATCATTAGAGGTCCAAATGAATCTCTGCAACACTTGATGTAACCTTACTCTCACCATGAAACCAAAGCCACTGTGTACCAATGTACTGTAAATCCATCACAGTGCAGCAAACTAAGCTGTTGATCCTGCACTAACCTGCAGAGAATTTTCATGCAGCTATTAAATAACAGTTAGCCTACCTCGGTCTGATTTGCAGCACGTTTTACTATATGAAAAAAAAATCCCATAATGTCACATGTAATTTAAAAACATAAGGACCTACACACTGAACACTCCTTACCTTTAAATCTGGATATGGTAAAACTCTTCGTTGGATGTTGGCTTAATTTTGTGTTGACATGATTCCATACTGCTTTAATAAATTTGAGGTGTGGACTGCTGGTGTTGCATTGTGTTTTTCTACAGCATTGACAGCGTTTGGCATTACTTTCATGCTGAAGAATGGAGCCCTCGTTAATCAAATGCTTTCCTTTTGATGGATCAAAACCCGACAGTACTTTTTAACATTCATAATTTCATTAATGTTGACAAGATCTCCAACATCACCGGCTGAAATGGAGCCTCAAAACATGACAGAACCTCCGGTGTTTTACAGATGGCTGCAGACACTCACTGCTGGATCTCTCTCTGAACATATTGTCAATGGACTGAACCAAAATTCTTACATTTGGATTCATCACTCCATAACACCCGTTGCCCCTGATTTTCAGTCCAGATCACATGTAATTGGGAGGATAAATGGCCTGTTCTCCAATGGTCCACCTAGAGTGACTCTCATAAGTGAACAAAAGACATAAGTGAACAGTACACTTGCCTGGCACCCATTATAACTATTTTTTCCCAGTAACACTACTACTACTGATAAAAATAATAAGTTTAATATTTTTTGCATGTGAGAGTGTCAATTCGTGATTATTCATATCAAAGATAAATTACTGTACAAAAACAGTTTCATGTGAACTGGGCACTGATGACAGGGCATTTTAACAGTGTTCAGGCTGACACTACTCAGGCTCTGAACATGGCAGCACACGAACACATCCCAAGCACCAGATCCACAGAGGCAGGAGTCTACCATAGCCAACAGATGTGCAGACGGTGCCCTGGAGACTGCTCAACACATAGTAGCAGCATGTAAGAACCAAGCTGGGCCCATATACAGAGTGCCACAACAGAGTACAGGAAATGTATGTATGTACGTAAATGGTAAATGGACTGGTTCTTAAATAGCACTTTACACAACTTCCTCCATTGGCACAAGCATTTTTTTCTATGCTTGAGTGCTTTCCATTTTTTATTCACACTCCAATTGATGCATTTGGGAGCAACTTGGGGTTACCCAAGAATATTTGACATGTAGACTAGTACCCGGGGATTGTACCACCAACCTTGCAATTAGTAGATGACCTGTATATAAC